AATTTATTTTAAAGCTAGTCAAATTTAGCAGTGGTGGGTAGTTGCCCAGTCTGGAGTGCCATGGCATTATCACAGCTCACTGATACCTCAAACTCCTGGGCCGAAGCCATCTTCCTGCCTCAGCCTCCTCAGAAGCTGGGATTACAGGTGTGCACCACCACGCTCAGCTAATTTTTCTATATTTTGTAGAGACGGGCTCTGACTCTTGCTCAGGCTGGTCTCGAACTTCTGGCTTCAAGTAATCCTCCCAGAGTGCTAGGATTACAGGCATGAGCCATGCCATCCAGGTTTTACCCTTCTTTTAACAGTGATAAATAATATTTGTGTCTTTTTCTGTTTAGTGTGGAACAGAGTTTTAGGAGCTAGACTTAGCCTGTAGACCTAAAGTTACAATTTGCATGTCCTTGTTTATGGGAAGCCAGCAAGGAATTTCCTTATGAATGATCCATGGAGGCAGTCCTTGTGTAGATGCCTACGGCCTTTTCTACCTTTCGGTGAGGATCTGGCTAATGCATAATGTTAGTAACAGTTATTCATTTGGAAGGGGGTGTTGCATGACTCAGCCTCCAGGATTGACCTTCTCTTTTGCATAAGGAGTTAGGGGGGTGGTCCTCAGATTTTTGTTTTCCTTTATACCATATTCATTTTCTGATTTCTATCCATCTGATGTCTCTCCATCCACCCCCTTTCCCTGACAAGAATGAAAACTAGTGCAACCTCTGTGGAAAGCAATATGAGATACCTTAAAGAGATACAAGTAGAACTACCATTTGATCCAGCAATCGCATTACTGGGCATCTACCCAAAAGAACAAAAGTCACTAAAAAGACGCCTGCACTCAAATGTTCATAGCAGCACAATTCACAATTGCAAAGATGTGGAAACAACCCAAGTGCCCATCGATACATGAGTGGATTAATAAAAGGTGGTACATGTATACCATGGAGTACTATTCAGCTATAAGAAACAATGGTGATATAGCACCTCTTGTATTCTCCTGGATAGAGCTGGAACACATTCTACCAAGTGAAGTATCCCAAGAACGGAAAAATAAGCACCACAGGTACTCACCAGCAAATTGGTTTCATTGATCAACACCTAAGTGCACATATAAGGAATAACATTTATTGGGTTTTGGGCAGGTGGGAGGGGGGAGGAGGGGACAGGTATATGCATACATAAGGAGTGCGATGCGCACCATCCGGGGGATGGACATGCTTGTAGCTCTGACTTGGGGAGAGGGGGGGCAAGGGAAACATACGTAACCTAAACATCTGTACCCCCATAATATGCTGAAATAAAAAAAAATAATAAAAAAATAAAATTAAAAAAAAAAGAAAAGAAATAAAAACTCCGTAAAGGCAAGAGCTTTGTGTGTGTTCACAGGAGTACCCCCAGTCCCTAGAATAGGGTTTGGACACAGTAACCACTCAACAACTCTTTAATGAATGAACTGTCAGTCTTCCTGGCTAGCTACCCTCTGAGCTCCTTAAAGGCAAGAATTTGGTTTTTATTTGGTTTTGCAAGTCCAGCATTACCTAGCACATAATGTACATTTAATAAGAATTAGTTTCATGGATTCATTCTTGGGGGAATAGGTCAATTCTAGGATAGTTTTAGTAGGCAGAAATCAAGAAAAGGCCAATTTAACGACCTTTCAGGTTTCCAACATCATTTCCGTTTCATCTTCTTTCCCCAGGATCACAAAGATGCAATCCTGTAAGGGCTTTGGACTGTCCATTTATTGACTAGACTCTCTTAAAGTTTAGTGGTGCTGGAGTGTAACAGAGTAAGTTCATGGTGTTAAAAAAAATCGAGGTGGGGGGACGCGTGCTCGTTATTTATTTGTGATGTCTCTAATAGGGCCAGGTGCCAAGAACTGAGGAGAGTTTTCCTGGATTGGGAGAAAGGGGAGTAGTGAGTCTGCTAAGGTGGCACTGTGGAATGTGCATTTTAGAAACCATTGTTGTAACACAGTTTGACGAGGGGCGTCTGTGTGGAGTTTTATGGAAGGAAAAGTGTGGAAGGAGGAGGGAGGAGGGAGGAGGGAGGAGGAAGGAGGGAGAAGCGCTCAGTAGCACTCTGGCACAGGGCCATTAAATAAAATGGTAGTTCTAAGGTTCCTTTCAGCTCACCTCCAAGATTGTAAAAAGGAAGGAAGTGAGGGAGGAAGGAAGAAGAAGAAGAAAACGATTCTAGCAGATTTTAAAAAAGCGACCCAACTAACTTTGACATCGTGCACTCTGCGTTGAACGCCAGCGACTTCCCTCGCTGGGAGAAGGCTCAGTGACTACCCAAAGCTACCGCAGACGCGACTAGCACTCGCGGGGACACCACGCGGTTTCCTTTAAGAGGCAGCGCTGCCCGCCACCCCCGAGGGTGCGAGGCCCGAGGCGGCCCGCGGGGCCGGAGGGTGGGCGTGCGCTGGCAGCGGCCGCGGAGGAGGGGCGAGGGAGGCGCGGGGCTCGCGCTCTCCCCGGGCGCCCGGGTAGTGGCGGCGGCGGGCATGGCAGAGACCGGGCGGGGGCCGGCGGCGGGGCCGCAGCTCAACGCGCTGCCCGACCACTCGCCGCTGCTGCAGCCGGGCCTGACCGAGCTGCGACGCCGGGCCCTGGAGGCGGGTGTCCCGCGCGCGCCGCTGCCGCTCTCCGACGCCTTCCTGCTGCGGTTCCTGCGCGCCCGCGACTTCGACCTGGACCTGGCCTGGCGGGTAAGCGTGCGGGCCCGCGGGACTGGGTGCCCGCGGCCGTGCCCAGACCCGCCCGCAAGCCCAGGGTGCAGGCAGGACCCTGGCGGGCAACAGGACCCCGGCGGGGGTCACGCGCTGACGCGCCCTGCCTGGGCGCGGTGGCTGGAGGTGTCCGAGAGATCCCGCGCTGGTCCTTCCAGTTTCTCTGAGTCGTGAAAACCTCGAAACCTGGACAGTGCTGGAGCCCTGGGGTGATGGCCTGTTTAAAGATTCCAGGCACTGAACTCTCGCCCTAGATCATCAGGCTTCTGAGCCTATAAAGTTCGGAGGAAATGCCTTCCTCTCCCTGGAAGCAAGCCCGTGCTGTGAAACAAAGTAACAGCTGGGAAGCCGGAAACTCAGACTTGTCACTTGTGAGCAGATAACGCCATGTGGCGGGGAAAATGAAATTGCTGATAAACTGAAGTTCCGAAGCCGTATTATTAATAGCAATACCTAAGTGTCAAGACAGTAAAGCAGCCCCGTGTTATTTCGACTGATGGGGCGTAGTGGGGTCGGGAAGGAGGGGGCGGTTCTTTTGTGTTTCCCGGTAAGTTACAGACCAGGTGCTAGAAGGACAGGAATCCGAAAGAGGGATGTGGCCTTGAGTTCTGTCACTTTAAGCTCAGCATCCTTATCTGTTAAATAATGGTGAAAACATCTGCCTCATTGACTGGTTGTGAGGATTGAACATTAACCAATTTAACAGAACAAGCTGTGCCCAGCGCAGTGCCTGGCACATGGGCAGCACTCAGCAGTTGGCCCGGACCTAGCCCTTTCTCCAAGTGGCTTCCTCAGTGCCGCGCTGCAAGTTGGGTGGCAGGGACGGTATTAATAGTACAGAATTCTAAGGTGTCTCAGTATGAGGTTTTTTGGGTTGTTTTTAAACTAATTTTTCTTGAAAAAGTCAAGTTATGGTAACAGTAATCCAGGTAACACAAAGTAGTAAAAAGTGCAAAGTAAGTTTCTAAAAGTAACTTTCTAAAAGAAAAAAGTTCCCCACTCCAAACCTTACTCTGCCAGTCATGTACCCAGAGGCCAGTTACTGTAACCTGTTTCTTGTTCATCTTTCCAGACACAGTGTTCACATAAGCGTGTGCCTTTCTGGCCTGTCTTAGCACGGGGATCATCCCATACCAGCTTGTGTACATCCATCTTACTCCTTATGGGGCTGCTGTCATTCCACTGGGTGGATATATTATATGCTATTAAAATGTATCCAACCAGTGCCCTGTTATTAGACATAGGGCTCATTGCCAGCTGATGCCAGTGCTGCCTTGCATGCTGTTCATTCCTTCATTCAATGATTATTTACTTCTACAATTCACCTAGTAGTACACGAGATGAGGTAAACAAGGTGGCGATGGTTTCTTCCATCACTGACTGGCATTTAGTATGTCTTTGTACTTTGTGCATAAATAGGAAAGTATCCTTACAGGATAAATTCAACCTGTGAAATTAGTGGATGAAGTGAGATGTGTATTTTTCAGTATTGAGGAATATAAAAAACTGTTCTCTAAAGAGTTTGCACTGATTTTATCACTCAATTACATAATGATGCCTTTTTCTTCATATTATCACCTACCACTGTTATCAAACCCGACTGTGTGCAAACTTGCTAGATGAGAAAGTGTTTGTTATTATGATACGCATTTATTTAATTATAAGTGAGAGTAATCATCTTTTATATATGTAAATTTTAAAAATTCTTTTCTACTTAACTGGCAGTGGCCTGTTTTTGCTATTCATTCGTTTTCATGTTTTAGTGACTTATAAAATATCTTTATGTATCAAAGAAAATAGGCCTTTGTCCTAGCTTGTTTCCTGTCTTTCGACTTTATTTATATTATTTTCTTTCTGTGCAGAATTTAATTTTTTTTTTAATTTTTGAGACACTCTTGTCACCCCAGGTAGCATGCAGTGGTGTCATCAGCTTACCGCAAGCTTGAACTCCTGGGCTCAAGCAACCCCTCCGGCCTCAGCCTCCTGAGTAGCTGGGACTACAGGTGCGCACCACCACACCTGGCTAATTTTTTTTCTCTTTGTGGTAGAGACGGAGTCTCACTCAGACTGGTCTTGAACTCTTGACCTCAAGCGATCCTCCTGCCTCAGCCTTCCAGAGTGCTAGGATTACAGGTGTGAGCCACCATGCCTGGACTAAAATTTTTTATGTAATCAAATGTATTGATTTGATTGTTCTTTTATTGTTTCTGGGTTTTATAAGCTCTTCTCTTATCCAAAATTTTTTCTAGTAATTTATGGCTTCTCTTTTTTATGTTGGAGTCATTTATGTATTGGGATTTATTTAAACGTTAGGAGAGTAATAGGGATCCAGCTTCATTCGTTTTCATTATGTCACATGGCTACGTAAATGTTCCAGTGTCATGAGTAATAAACTAATATGTACTCAGCAGCTACTGCATATGAAGATCCAATCTTAGGTTCTATGAAGAGTGCAGTTTAAATAAGGCATTCGACGTATAAATAACTAACAATAAAAAGTATATCATTTACTGATTTCATTTTAGCTACTTTTTAAAAGGTAATGTCTAAATAGAAAAAGAAATAAAGTTTACATTCAGCCTCTGTGATATTTTTTTTTTTTCTGTATTCCTTATTTTATTGAATTGTTTTTGTTCCACCATTCCCTTGAGGAACTGGCTAGCAGCCTGTGTCTAAATCCACTGGACAGAAGTCAAGTTTCTGTCTGTGAACTCATTGCCTTACGTTTTTGCCAACTGGAAAGGAAAGAGAAAGGGCAAGAGTGAAACTGTTTTCTCATTTTCCTCTGCAATGGTAGTTAATTTGACTCAAACTCCCTTATTTTTAATATAAAAGCCCTATAGTTTTTGTGTGAAGAAAGCTTAATAAATACCTCAGTTATGATGAAATTTCTTAGTATTCTAGTTTTTATATTTGAAGTTATAATGGATTAATAAGGTTTTACAATCTTAATAGCTAATATGCTTGTGGAATGCCAGGTACTTTGGTAAATAGTGTTTGCGTGGCTTATCTTATTATATTCTCATTTTAGAAGAAACTGAAATATAAGGCGTAAGTAATGTTTCAAAAATCATGTAGCTATTAAGTGCTGGAGCAGAGATTTGAACTTAGGTGGAGCACAGGAGTGCTCTCAAATACACTGCACTTGCCCCTTTGATTTAAAACAACGAAAGTAAAAAATAACCAATGGTTAACTTCTCTGTTCTACACATTCTCATGCATGCTACAAGTGAATAGCCTGGTTCCTTGTATTTTTGTTACATGTGATAAGCTTTTTATCCTTTAATTATCTTTATAGTTTTCTCAAAGACTTTGAAGCTTTCAAAGTTCCATAGACTTTCCCTGCTGATTTCCCTCTAAATGTAGCTTCTTTTGTAAAATTTATCATATCACATATCAATTTCAGGTTCTAGTCTGCTCATGATAGTTTTTGCCCTTGAACAAATCTGTAATTTCTCAGAGCTTTATTTTTCTTGTGCATTTAATGCCATAACAATAGTAACAATAGTGTGAGGAGGAAATGAAATGATACTGGTAAACCCTATACACATGGCACAAATATGGTGGTGGTTATTTTGTTTGAAAGTACATGGAAAAACGTTAGAAAAAACTTACTCTATTACAAAGAATAGTTAAACCATAATCTTTAAATATTTATTTATTTCAAATTTTTGTACAAAACAGGCACCTTCTAATACTGAATATTCACTTTTAGCCAATTTTTTGTTGTTGTTGTTGTGGACATAGGGTAGTTTGTTTGAGAATTGCTCAGTAGCAGTTTATATATTTATATTAATTGGACTATCAATTTATTTATCAGTGTAAAATTAATGATCAAAGACCCAGGTTTAAATATTTCAGTTTGCAAAAGTTAAGGTGAGAGGCATGACAGTGATTTGTGCATCTTTATAAAAGTCATTTTTTTCAAGTGGTTTACTCATGCATTAATTTATTCTTTCATTCAACACATGGGTATTTTCTCCTGGGTGTCCAGCACTGTGCAGAAATGAATAAGCTGAGCACTCTGCCTCTATTACCTAAAAGATCCCTTCTAATGAAGCCACAACTTTTATCATTCCATAGGAAAATAAAACTGTTATTTTTAAATAGTTACTAAATGCTGCTTCCTGCATTTTGCTTGAAGTAGAATTAAAAGGAGTTTTAATGCTTTAATGCTGTAATGTTTTATGTCTGCGGAAACTATCAAAAAAGTAATAAGCATTTAAAAATACTATTAACAGTTATTCTGGTGTTCCCTAAGACAGGAGGAGAAGGAGAAATTTATCTTATAGACTAGAATGAATATACCAGGATCTACAATGTGCCTGTTGTTTTCACTGCTTTTGGAAACTGCAATTTAGGTCACCGATTATTTCTTTGTTGGCAAATTGACTGCCTTCTTTTCCTTCTTACCTCTCTGTTGCATTCAACTCTTAGCAATATTCTCTTTTTTTAAAAGTTAAGACAAGTTTGTTAAATGCAGAAATGAAAGAGAAGGAGAGAGACAGCAAGAGAAAGAGGGAGACAAAATCAGAGAGAGGAAGAGAGAGAGGGAGAGGGTAAGGGAGGGGGGAGCAGAGCAGCACAGATGATGCTGTTCTCCCTTCCATACACTGTAGTGCTGGGTCTCTTACTGTTC